TATATATATATATATATATATATATATATATATAAGTCGAAGTATATTATGAAACTGAAATATGTTGAAGAATTTGTAAGTTGGTGCAAGGTCCTAGGATCGAATCCTGGTAGCAGCAGTGTGGGAATTTCAACTCCAAATGAGGGTTGGTTCCTTGTGGGCACCAGGTCCGGGTCCGCTACCTTAACGGACCGTTGAGTTACCATGATTTACATCCTCTATCAATCATTGTCGGGCCAAGGGATGGGGGCCCTTGGGCGAGGGATTCGCCTTTTGGTGCAAGAATTTGTATTAGCTTTCAATTGGGTGGGCCGATTATATATAGCCCATTGGGCTTTTGACAGATGGATAAGGTAAATGAATTTATTTATTATTTATTATTTAGGGCCTCAAATTCCCCAAATTACATATGTAGCCCCGTTGGCTTTCCGTAACTATATAAACTACTCACCTTATTATTCTTCTTCTATGCATATATATATCATATAACGTATAATACATACATATATAGATACAGTCACCCCTGGAAATATAATTTCTTGTTTTTCGCTTAATTGATTTCTCTTCTCGTTAATGGATAATCAAGATCAAGAATACGGAGGCGGCGGCGCAAGAAAAGAGGGTGAGATGGACGGCGACCGCCGCAAGAATGTGGGGGGAATAACAATTTCCGATGAGACGACGGCGGCGGAGGAGGAAGCTGTTCACGGTGGTGCTTCTGGATCAAATCGAAGCGGTGGAGGAACAATTAATCAAGACGGAATAGTAGATTTGACGGGGTCGCCGCCGGAGACCGCCGGAAGTAGCCGTGCAGTAAGCGAAGACGACGGCCGGACGTTGAATTTGATAGAATCTTTGCCGGAGACGACGGCGGAGGAGGAAGCTGTTCACGGTGGTGCTTCTGGATCAAACCGAAGCAGCGGAGGAACAATTAATCAAGACGGAATAGTAGATTTGACGGGGTCACCGCCGGAAACCGCCGGAAGTAGCCGTGCAGTAAGCGAAGACGACGGCCGGACGTTGAATTTGATAGAATCTTTGCCGGAGACGACGGCGGAGGAGGACGCTGTTCACGGTGGTGCTTCTGGATCAAACCGAAGCAGCGGAGGAACAATTAATCAAGACGGAATAATTGATTTGACGGGGTCGCCGCCGGAGACCGCCGGAAGTAGCCGTGCAGTAAGCGAAGACGACGGCCGGACGTTGAATTTGATAGAATCTTTGCCGGAGACGACGGCGGAGGAGGACGCTGTTCACGGTGGTGCTTCTGGATCAAACCGAAGCAGCGGAGGAACAATTAATCAAGACGGAATAGTAGATTTGACGGGGTCGCCGCCGGAAACCGCCGGAAGTAGCCGTGACGTTAACGCCGTAGACGACGGCCGGACGTTGAATTTGATAGAATCTTTGCCGGAGACGACGGCCGGCGGAAGATTAGATTCTGTGGGGAATCCCGGATCGGCGTTCACGCCGGCGGCGATGCGTTCACCAGTTAATCGGGAATCTTCTTCATCCAGACTCTCTCTACGGCCACTTCATGTACAGATCAGTCATCTGATTAAGGGTCTTCAAGATTCCGCGAGGAGGCGTGCCGGCGGCGGCGGTTACAACTCATCAAAGGCGGCGGCGCCGCCGGAACCGCCGGAAAATAGAAGGCAGTTGGGGAAGGGGAAGGGTAAAGCAGCAGCAGTTGATCAACATTCATTCATACCCAATTATTTTCCTCCACTAGATGGTCATGAAGATCAACCACCATTCAAGAAATTAAACATCGGCGGCGGCGGCGGATATTCTCAGACTAGCGCCGGCGGCGGCGGATACTGTCAGACTAGCGGCGGCGTCGGCGGCAGCAGATACATTCAGTACAGTGGCGTCAGCGGCGGCAGCAGTCACAACAACTCAACACACCAACTACTACTGCATGGGGGCGAGGCATCAGCACCAGCCGCCGCCGCCGCATTGCCGCCACGGCCACCGCGACCGCCACGGCCGCCGCCGCCTGATGACTACGTATGTATGTATTGTAATTGGGCTCGATTTCGGTCTAGACAAGCACTTGAAGAACACATGATACCATGTAGCTTACTTTTTTTGAAAGGCGGCTAGATGAATTAGTACTCTCGATTAATCGATAGTTTGCGATTCGACAAAAAGATCGATTTGTTTCGACTTTCGTTCGATTATTCCTAGCTACCACACCTTTTACTGTGATCATACTACACAGTTCATCATGATATATACAATTCTTTCTTTTTCCTTGATTTTATTTTTTATTATTAACAATATATATATACACATTTTGTACGAAAAAGAATGGTAATTAACAAGATTCTCCTTCATTAAAAGGAGGCTCGGATTTATAAATTGCATGTAAATGTATACATTTATAAGATACAAATAAGTAAGAAATGAAGAATAATAAATATAGTACAATATTTTAGTCTTTAAATAAATGATATATAAAATGGCATTTTTTCTAGAATTTTAACTATTTTCATACAACATAATTTCTAATATCAAATCTCAAATCAACATAGTTAAACAACAAATTAAAATATATTGTTCATTAAATGAGCAATTTCATATTATGACAATTAGGTTTATATAATTATTTTCAAAATGAGTTTGTATTATTTAATTTGTATAAATATTGATGTTGTTACTTATATCACTAATATATTTTTTATTATTTTTATTATCATATATTTAACTAATCCTTATTTTCACTATTGAAACGTTATAAAAAGGCTAATTTTTGGTTAAGCGCAAGACTCATTTTATATGGATATATTTCGCCCACTCTTAAGGTAATGTCAAATTATGAAAAAGACACATCTGATGCACCACAATTCGGATATTTACTAGCAAAGAGACACATCTAATGATCATTTTGTTTCAAAATAATAGGGTACAAACTAGAGAATATTTCACAGAATCTAGAAGATTCCACTAAATTTTATACTGCAAAGGTAGGTGGGTAAGAAATTTATAGTTGAGGGGGTGAATGTAATTATTCAAAACATAAGAGGTTTTTTTGTAATTTAAATATATATACATATAGTCCGTTGGCTTTCCGTAACTATATAAACTACTCACCTTATTATTATTCTTCTTCTATGCATATATCATATAACGTATAAGAATACATACATATATACATATAGATATAGATACATAGATACAGTCATCCCTGGAAATATAATTCTTGTTTTTGCGTAATTGATCTCTTCTCGTAAATGGATAATCAAGATCAACACTATGGAGGCGGCGACGCAAGATCAGACGACGTAGTCATAATTTCCGATGAGACGACGGCGGCGGAGGAGGAAAATGTTGATTTGGCACTAACTTTGGTGACGGGTGCAAGAACGGTGGGGTCGCCGGAGCCCGCCGGAAGCGAAGACGGCCGGACGTTGAATTTGATAGAATCTTTGACGGAAGCGCCGGCGGCCGCCGCCGAAAGTAGTGGTGGCGCTGGAATGATTTGGGGCGGTGAAAGAAACAGCGAAGGAATGTTAGATTTCATGAACAAGGGGGTGGTGGCGGTGGGGAATCCTGGATCGGCGTTCAGGCCGTTCACGCGGGTGAGGGCACAAGCAGCAGCCGTTGTTAATCAATCTCCACCAGTTCAAGAACGGAGTCCTCCGATTAATGTTCCTCAAGCTTCCAATCAACCAAACCGCGCGAATGACGGCGGCGGCGAATCTTCTGATCAGAGGCGCGGCGGCGGCGACAACGCCGGAATGATTTGGGGTGGTGAAAGAAACAGCGAAGGAATGTTAGATTTCATGAACAAGGGGGTGGTGGCGGTGGGGAATCCCGGATCGGCGTTCAGGCCGTTCACGCGGGAGAGGGCAGCAGCAGCAGCCGAAAGTAGCGGTGGTGCAAGAACCAATGCCGGAATTATTCGTGGCGGTGGTGAAAGAAACAGCGCCGGAGAGTTAGGTTTCGTGAACAAGGGGAAATCGCCGATGATCATCACCACGGGTAAAGCTGAGTCAGTTGGCCAATCTTCATCCAGACACAACCAAAACTTGGCCGGCAGCAGCCACAGCGGCAGATATCATTCTCAGACTAGCGGCGGCGGCGCCGGCGGCAGCAGATATTATTCTCAGACTAGCGGCAGTGGCGGCGGCGGCGGCGGTGGCGACAGATATTATTCTCAGACTAGCGGCGGCGGCGGCAGCGGCAGCGGCGGCAGCGGCAACGGCGGCAGCGGCAGCGGCGGCAGCGGCAGCGGCGGCAGCGGCAGCGGCGGCAGATATTATTCTCAGACTAGCGGTGGCGGCGCCGGCGGCAGCGGCGGTCACAACCCATCAATAGGATCAGCAGTCACCATCGCCGCATTGCCGCCACTGCCACCGCGACCGCGTGATGGATATTCTCAGACTAGCGGCGGCGGCGGCGGTGCCGGTGGCAGCGGTCACAACCCATCAATAGCATCAGCAGCAGTCACCATCGCCGCATTGCCGCCACTGCCACCGCGACCGCGACCGCAACCGATTGTTGAATACGTATGCATCTTTTGTAAAAGGGCTCGATTCTCGTCTATGGACTTAGTCGAGGAACACATGAGTATATGTCCTCGGAGAGTCATTGACCTCGGTTAGTAGCTTCTTTTTTTTCGGCTTTTTTCAAAATGCGAGATTAATTAGTAGTCTCGATTCTTCGATAGTTGATATTCGATAAAAGATTCGTTTTAGCTTCGGTTCGATTATCGTTTAGTACCTGTTTACTGAGATCTACCATAGACTGATCATAGTACACATGCAGTTCATGAAATACAATTTTTTCTTTTTCCTTCATTTTATTATTTCAGTTATTTACCAATATATATATATATAAACATTATAAATACACATTTATAAGAAAAATAAATTGTAATTAACAAGTTTCACCTTCATTAAAAGGAGGCTCAGGTTTATAATTTATAAATTACAAATAAATAATGTAGCAGAATAAGCTGATAATACAAACCAAAGGTATGCATGATTCGATCTATAATGTGTCTCGTTTCTGAAAGAAGAAGAACGTAACAAAAACATCGAAGAATAAGAAAAAGGAAAGAAAAAAATTCTCTTTGTCATAACTAGGTAGGAACAAATTCAACGGAATTTTGAGATAACTCGAATACCAACACTTTTAAGATGATCAAGAACGATAATATCTGCACGAGAAAAAATATAGTGTACTTAAATACCCTCTTCTGTAGCTTCATTGTTTCGTCGGCACTTGCAATGTCGTCGGAAAACATTTCCAATTTCTCAGCCTCGTTATTAATCATTAAATCCTCTGCCTTTTGCTCTTTCGAAATAGTGTTCGGATTTGCAGAAGCGGCCCTTAGGTTTTGAACCGTTCTTGATATTGCCAAATACTCTACTTCAGCTTCTATTCTTTGCTTAAATAATTCCTCGAGTTCTGCTTCGTAAACTCTTTTTTCTGTTTCTCCCAATTCAGATTGTCTTGTGTCGGTGTCTGGATCTGAATCGTCGATGGAAGCATCTATTTCGATTTCCTTGAACTTTAGCACTTCTGCATAGATAAACATTGGTTCGATTTTCAGGAAATTTGAAGTTGAAAATGTACTAATTGATTCCCTATACTCATAAATATTCAGTATGTAAAGTAAAACGGTCACATAATCAACGTCATCTAATAACTAGACACCGAAAACATAACAACTTGGAAAAGCTATAGGCGTAATATCCATTTTTTTTTTATCCTTGACTAATAATACCAATTAAAAATTATAGGATAAATCAGTATGAGGGATATCTTCAATCATATGGCAATAGTGTTCAATTCGAACCTTACGAATTTACGATACTTCGTTTCTTATATTCATTCATTGATTAAAAAAATGAGTGATGAAAACTATACACCTCAAAATCCTACTGCAAGTACCATAATTTGAAGAATATTATGAGATACTACGAAATTATCAGAGACGGAGAGTGATGTAATAATTATACGAAGCAAAGGGGTGAAATGTGAGCCGACCTTTTTCTAGTGCTTCCTGTACAGTCTGCAGTAAAAAGATCGATTCAACTAGAGGATCTTGTTCTGATGAGGAACCGTCGTTTTCGTTTCGATCTTTTTTAACCTCCCAAGATAAGTCAGCAACTCCATCTTCAGGTGAGATTTCCTCATATCCTCCTTCGCCATCTCGACTAAGGTGAACTCCATCACCATTTTCTCCATTGTACGGAACTTCCCTTTCACTTTTTACTCCATTACTTGTGGCGTGAGTTCCCTGTGAAAATACAAAGTTGGAGCTCCGCGAATCAGATTCCATGCTGGAAAGAGAGTTTTCCTTCTCGATTTTGACCCGTTCTCCTTTAGCCTTCTTAATGACCTCGATTCGCCCCTTCCCCTGTTGACCACCACGGTTGACCGAGTGGGTCAAATTCTTCCCACCCAAACTCCTCATTTGAGGAAATCCCACAACCACCGGCACCTCCCGTTTCACCTTTGGCAAACTGGCGGCGGTGGAAGACTTGCTACTCCGGTCCTCGCTGTTCTCCGAATCTGTACCAGCATCTACTGATTGCCCGATTGCCAAACCGGAATCACCGAGCAGAGCAAAAACATCTAAACCACCTATTACAGCATTCGTGGACGAAACAGAATCTTCACTCTTTTGAGGCCTGTCGGCATAAAATTGCATACGCTTACTCGGATTTACAACCGAGTGCTGCAATTCCCGTGTTTCCGCTTTGCTAATATCCTCACTGCTTTCTCCACCATTACTGAGATCTCTCCTAATCCTTCTCCATTTCTTCAATCCATAACCTTTCCTAACTTTCGTAGGCGAAGGAGAAACCTCCGATTTCACCCCCGTAGGAGGCGAACTTACAGAATCTGAATCTTTAATTACTTCTTCTCCATTAACACCCGAGAGCAAATTACTGTGATCATTGTTTTCTACCCCACAAAATCCATTGACCTGAACTTCTTCACTATCGTTTACAAGCACCGACGAATCACTTTCTAAATCCATCTCCAGTAAATAAATAAAATAAAAAATCAGCTAATTTCTAGATGCGTTCATCGTTCAATTCCGATCACAGGATCATCAAACGCATGGAAGATTCTACACAGAAAAAAAAAAAAAAAAAAAAAAAAAAAACAATTCCGATAAATTCTCGCAGGAATTCAATTCAATTTCTTCCAAAATTAACAAAATAAAGCGCAAATGATACATAAATCGAACTAAATCAGCGAGATCGGTATGAATTAATGAAGCGTACCTTACGATTGGGTGGAGATTAAAGCCAAACCAGGAATCTAAAACCCTAGATGCGGATTGGGGGAATTGTACCCAGAGAAAACTGTTGAATCATAAATTTTTTTTTTTTGACGATCAAAAGAAAAATGGCAATTGGAAACTTTAAATATATTATATGATAATAAAAAAAAAAAAAAAAAGGTGCAAATAAGGTAAGGAGAAAAGATGAAGAATTAGCGACGAAAGGCGGTGGGTGATGGCGACGGTGGCCCACCGGAGAGGTGGTGGTGGGGTCATGGGAGACAACAATTGTGTGTTGCTCAGTCGTCTATCTGGATTCCACATGCCAACTTCTGGATTTTTCTCCCTTTTTTTTATTTATTTTAAAAAAAATGAAAATTAAATTATTTTCGGACAAATTAATTTCTGATTTTATTTCTTTTATGAAAATTAAATGACATTTTCAATTACTTAATTTTTAGGGTAAATTACAAACACCCCCCTGAGGTATGGTCAAATTACAAAAACACCCCTCTTGTTTGGATAATTACAACCACCCCCTCAGCTCCTCAAATTTAGTGGAATCTTCGAGATTATATGGAATATTATCACTTTTGTACCCGTTTTATCCCATTCAAACTCTACATTATGAAGCAAGATGATCATAATATGTGATTTTTAGCTTGTATATATCAGTTTGTGGTGCATCGGAAACTGTATTTTCACACAAAATTAGTACAAACTAGAGCACATTCCACGGAATCTAGATGATTATGTTGAATTTGGCACCATAAGGGTGGAGGTGTAAGAAAAAATCATAGTTGAGGGGGTAGATGTAATTATCCAAACAAGAGGGGTTTTTTGTAATTTGACCATACCTCAGGGGGGTGTTTGTAATTTACCCTAATTTTTATGATGTAATAAATGTAGTTTGTCATATGAGTTGCAAGCTACAGTTAAAGCTCTATAAATTAATACAGTCGGAACTAGGGAAATTCTATTAATTTAGTGAATTATTAAATTATTGAGTTAATAATGTAATACGTTTTCACCGAGTCGGGACTGAGAGAAATTATTAATTAATCGAGGTAATTAATTTATCGAGTATCAATTAATCGATGTACTACTGTATAATACGGGAGTGTATATCTAGGAAGTGTATTTATATGGACGGTTGCGTGTTCTTTTGTTAGTAAAAAAAATAAAATAAAATGTAGTTTCAGTTTAATAATTGTTTTAAATTTGAAAATGAATTTGACTATTTTCTAATTTGAATTTGAAAGAACTCACAAAATGGAATTTGTACTTCGTCGAGTTAGCTTTGTAATTCAATTTGAATCACTAAAATTGGATGTTGGACGATATATATATATATATATATATATATATATATATATATATGAATGAATCTGTGAGTATTGCCCAACTTTGAGGTTTTTAGTTGTCTAAAATTGAAAATGTAAAATGTAACTCATTCATGCATGTCAGCATGTATATAATTTTATCATCTGACGTCCAATGTGGCTAATTCAAATTGTATTAGAAAATTAATTGAAAGGTTTACAATTTTGTTTGTGTTCTGCATTTTGCCTAATTTAGATCTATTAATGGTCAAAATCACGGCTGAAGTCAAAATATAATAAAATTGAAATGATATTTCTCATTTCAGTTTTTTTTTTCTTCTCCATCTAACGAATCATTAAAATTATGTACATTGATAATTCTTAGCTCATTAATTATAAATTAATAAAATATTCGTCAATCGCAAATCTATTAATCTACAAAGGTTTTAATTAAGTATGCAATAAACATGTACAATTTATGATTAGATACAAGGCCAACCCAAGTATAAGGCCAATACTTGGGCCTCCAGAAACTATTTATTTCATAGGGCCTTCAGCTTTAACGAATATCGAAAAAATCTGAAATCGGAATGAACAGTTTTGTTCCAATATAGAAACTTTTGGGATCGGAACCGTAAAAATTGAAAATTCTATCTCTATATCCATCTATAATTATTATAGAATACGTAATAACATTGATATTACAAATGTATATATTTTTCTTTTGGAATTTCCTAATTACATTCGAAAATTAAACTTAAATAAAAATTCGTAAACTCATATTATTTCAATTCCGTTCCAAAAAAGATCGTAAATCAATTATTTTTGGAATTCGCATTAAAAAAACTACTATTCCAAAATCATAAATCTTCGAATGAAAAAATGGTGAAAAAAATTGAAAATTCAGTTCCAAATTCGATTCGAACTTCAGTCAATTTATAATTAGTCTGGTGTGGTTTACGTCTGTATATTACTCCATAACAGCTATTAAAATTTAAATGTTCTTGAATTACATTTATTTGGATGTATTAGAGTGAACACTAAATTACCATAAACTTTCATGCAATAATAGATAAATTATATATCTACACATTTTGAATTCGAATTTCATAATTAATAGTAATTAATTATATTGATTGTGAATGAAAATAACAAGATAATATTAATGCAGTATTTATTTGGTTGTTTTCATTATTTTTCTACAATCGTCCTTTAGCCGGCGAAAAAAGAGGCAACTAGATGTACTCCATAAACAGCAAAGCACAACACATGCAACAAAATATGAACAATCAAACATTCAAATCATTTATTGCTCTTCATATTATTTTATTATTATTATTATTGTTACTGTTTTATTACTAATTACTGTTTGACATCTTCTATACTTATTTGAGAATTGAAAAATTAGTGAAACAATTTTTAAATGAATCCTTAACTAACTCACAATAAAAATATTCTTTAATATATATATATATATATATATATATATATATATATATATATATATATATATATATATATATATATATTAAGTGTTAAAATATAAAAGAATCAATTAGTTTATTATTCAGATTTTTATTGAATGTAAATAATTACTAATTACTCATTAATGATTTCGACAAGGTAATATAATTGATCGTTGCACTCTAGAGTTCAATTAATTGTGCTAGACTTTTGCAAGATGAATTAAATTGTATATTTGTACTTTGATTAAAGGAGAGCTACTGTATTTCCTACGCATTAACTCTGAAATAAAAACTATATATATAATTCTAAATAATAAACAATTTTTTTTAATTCAAAAAGAAAAAAGAAAAAGAAAATTTATTTGCTAACTAATACAGATGTAGGTTCATTGTAGGAAGACTGTGGAGTGTGGAGGGTGTGATCAGATACAGACACCTCATCGCATCACTTAAAAATAGAAATAAATACTTAAAAGAGTAAAAAATAAATAAAAAAGGAAAAAATAAATATTTGAAAAATTCACAAGTCTTCGAGCCACATGTAAGCCAGGTTGCCCGGAGAATTATTAAACTAATTACATAATTAATCGATGATTAAATATTAATCATGCCAACTAAACGATACACTTCTTAAAAGTAGTCAAGATTTTGGAAAATGGGTTTTGGTGGGGATTATTATATATCCAGAGGGCAATTATGTCATTTTCAGAAATTAGAATTTCAATTACATGTTTCATAAAATAATATTTAATGTCAATTTTTATTATTCAGAAATGAAATAAATAATGTTCTTTTGCAATGTGAGGCACTAATTACCAAACTTTTAGCCAAGTCAGCATGTCTTTGCCAGCTTAATCAAGCAAAAAATCACCAATCATGGAAATCAAAAGCCAAATAGATTTTCTTTACATGATTATAAAGAACATGCAGCTCTTTCATAATTAAATTATACAATTCAATGGCTATAAACTAATACAGTCGAAACTTTCAAAATTCCATTCGTTTAGCAAAAAATTAAATTATCGAACTAGTATTTTAGTATATTTTTCGAATCTTGCCATTTCCCCTACTTCCCCAATTTGTAACATGATTTAAATTTCTATCGAGTACTAATTTATGGAGGTTTTATTCTACTTAATCTCACATTCTTAAAACTAATTCAATTAACAAAAAAATAAGCATATGAATTTGCTATTTAGCTCTTCAAAAAAAATTACTTATTTATTTATTTGAAGGCCAATTATTAATAAGTCAGTCATCACTTGGACTGGTCTTTGGTTCAATTTCCAGAGCAAAAATAATTTGTCACACATATATGTCAGATGGTATATATATACACATATATACACACACACAGAGAAAGAACCCTACTTGCATTATTTCAAATATATATATACATATATATATTATATATAAATAAATATTATTTAATTTAAATTGAAGCACTTACCACACAAAGTGGCCATTAACTTGAGACAACAAGGCCTGTCTGAGTGCATGGTTTTACTCTACCCAATGCCAAATCTTTAGCTCCTGTAATTAAAAAAAAACACATAACTGTGTGTTAATTTTTATGTATTTCTTCATAATCTGAACAACACGAAAAACAAAAAGCCAATACTCAAACCCCAAGACAAGTTCAATACAGATTATAAAACTACTAGTACAAGAACCTTAGAATAATATTACATCATTAATTACACAGTCTGCAACTCCTTTTAAAGCATTTATTTCTATTATTTTATTTTCAAAATACCCCCTTAGATCCAACCCACCCACACTTTAGATTCTTACAGCTTGTGTTCATTACACACACCCAAAATAAAAAATAAAAAAATAGATAGATGGTCTGTCTGCAACTACATGGAAAGAGGGTCACCCTTTTCTTGATGAAAATAAACCAGGTAAAAAAACACACATATATGTATGTAAAGATATGTAATGTTTTTTTATTTCTACATAGTTTTTTTGAAATAATTGGTCTGATTTCTGATCCATAGATGAACAGTAAAAGGGTTTTCAGACTCTGGTGAGGGGAGGGGGACCCACAGTTGAATTGAAGAAAGAAGAAGATGAATGAATATATTCACATGTGTGTATGAGAAATCTTAATCTTACTCTTACAGACTGTTGCATTCATCTTCTGATCAGAGTTCCCAGTTTCAACCACTCATTGAACTCCACCTGTCATAATCAAACCAAGGTTAAGAAGAAAGAAAGGAAAACTTAAAAAAAGCCAAAAGTTCCTATTTTTCTTGCATTGCTTAAAAAAAGATTGTTAGCAGGAAGAAAGTGTTTGAGGTGTGGGAGTTTGGGGGGCCGGGGCCTCCTCATTCATTCATTAACAGAACATGGGTGAAGAAGCAGAAATCCCCACCGTTGATTATGACACCAAGTCACTTACGGTGAAGATATCTAATTCCGGCAAGGAAACTCTCGCCGGCAACTCGTTGACGAAGAACCCATCGGCGAATTCGTCTCCGTACAACTCCCCACTTATCTCCCCTCCTTCATCAGCCTTCGTTTCGGCATTGCAATCACCTTACATTTCTCCAAGGGCTACCGTCGCCACCACCGCCGGAGCCGGAGCCGGAGCCGGAAACCCTTCCGACGAAAGTCCAACTCCGGCGACCACACTCACCCACCCCTCCTATCCGGTTTCCTCCGACGATGTCCCCAGCACGTCCTACAACACCCCACCGCCGGAGAAGCTCAAGATCGTCACTTGCGTTCCGGGTCCGGGTCCGGGTCCGGGCCAGGAAAATGCGGGCCGGATTTCGTTCTCGTTTCCCGCCCCTCGAATCTCGTTCGCCAAGGGCGGGTACGCCTCTTCTCCCGCCGGCGCCGCCGCCGCCGCCGCGAACGCGAAGCTGAGGAGCTGCGACGTGTACGTGGGCTTTCACGGCCAGAACCCTAACTTATCTCGGTTCTGCAAATGGCTGAAATCGGAGCTCGAGATACAGGGCATCGCCTGCTTCGTCGCCGACAGAGCAAAGTACGCCGACAACCAGAGCCACGAAATCGCCGACAGGGTTATCTGCTCCGTCGCCTACGGTGTCGCGGTGGTCACAAACCACAGCCTCCTCAACCACCTCAGCTTAGAAGAAATCAGATTCTTCGCCCAGAAAAAGAATCTAATCCCATTATTTTTCAACACCGACGCCGACGAAATCACCACCCTCTTCAACCCAAACGGAGACAATAACAACAAGGAGTGTAAAGAAGCACTCGACGGACTAATGAAATGCCACGAGTTCAAATTAGAAGCCGATGAGGGAAACTGGAGAAGCACCGTATCAAGAACCGCCGCCATATTGAGGGGCAAACTCGGAAGAAAGAGCGTCGCCGAAAAGGAAATCAATGCACACACAAACGAAGAACTACCCTTTCCTCGAAACAAGAATTTCGTCGGCAGGGAGAAAGAAATTACAGATATCGAAACTGCATTTTTCGGGTGTGGAGATTATTTCGAGCAAGAATGTAGTAGAATTACGGTCCCGACCGTTAAAAACGTGACACCTGGACAATCCGACGACGGAGAAAGCGAAGTCGGAGGCAAATACATTAGTTTGGAACCGAATTTAGAGGCGTGGGTTGAGCCAGCAATTGGAAGAAACTCTCTCAAAAGGGCTAAATACAAGAAATCGAAAAGTGGGAAGTACAAGAGCTTTGGTAGCAGCATTGTGTGTGTAACCGGTTCACCGGGAGTTGGAAAAACCGAGCTGGCTTTGGAATTCGCTCACCGATTCTCGCAGAGGTACAAGATGGTTTTGTGGGTGGGCGGGGAATCTCGGTATTTCAGGCAGAATATACTGAACATATCTCTCAACATGGGATTGGATGTGAGCGCGGACGAAGAGAAGGAGAGGGGTAGGATCCGTAATTTCGACGAACAAGAATCGGAAGCGTTCAAAAGGGTTAAAAGGGAATTGTTTCGCGAGATGCCCTATTTACTCATAATCGACAATCTTGAAACCGAGAGGGAATGGTGGGAAGGTAAAGACCTACACGATTTAATACCAAGAAACACGGGCGGGACCCACGTGATCATTACAAGTAGGCTCTCGAGAGTGATGAGCATCGATCCGATGCATCTTCAGACACTGCCTTTGCCCGAAGCAACAACACTGATCAAAGGGAGACGGAAAAGGGAATATCCGGATGCTGAGCTGGAATTTCTCGGAAAATTCGACGAGAAATTGGGTCGATCGAGTTTTGGCTTAAATGTGATAAGCTCGTTGCTTTCGGAACTCGGAATATCACCGTCTGCTTTGTTTGAGGCGGTGAACCAGGTTCAGTACGATGAAACGATAAACTGCTTGAGTTTGAGCAGTTCAGAGCAGCAATTCTGCAGGACAAGCCCTTTCCTAATGAAGGTCTTGTCCTTTTGCGGTGATATATTACAGCAAGTCAACGGCAATGGGAACACTCTTGCTTCAAGAATGCTTCAAGCTGGAGCATGGTTTGCACCTGCACCAGTTCCAGCAAATTTATTAGCTACAGCAGCAAATAATGTACCGAAAACCAGAAACAAACTGAAAAGTTGGACAAGATTCTTAAAGCTCACAATCAGTTGCTGCTCAGGTTGTCTGTCAAACCAATCATGGAAGAGCGAAGAAGAATCGGCTCTTCTCTTAGTACGGCTCGGTTTAGCCCGGAAAGTCAACATACAACAACAACAACAGCAAGGGTGTTGGATTCAATTCCACCCCATAACTCAGATATTCGCGAAATCGAGATTCGGACTAACCGCAGCAAAAGCAGCCGTTCAAGGAGTGAGGAAAATCGGGAATCCGTCGCTGAATTCGGACCACTTATGGGCATCGGCTTTTCTCGTATTCGGATTCAAATCAGACCCTCCTGTCGTGCAGCTCAAAGCCACCGACATGGTTCTGTTCATCAAACGAACGGCTCTCCCGTTAGCAATACAGTCGTTCACGAATTTCTCGAGGTGCAACTCGGCTTTGGAGCTTCTGAAAGTCTGCACGAACGTCCTCGAGGAAGTGGAGAAATCGTTCGTTTCTCAAATACAGGACTGGTGCCACCACGGATCCCTGTGCTGGAAGAAGGCGATTCAGTCGAATCAGAGGGTGGACGAGTACGTTTGGCAGCAGGTGACTTTGCTGAAGGCGACGTTGCTGGAAACTAGGGCGAAGCTGCTCCTGAGAGGCGGGTGTTTCGATAACGGGGAGGAGCTCTGCCGGACCTGCATCAGCATTAGGACGGTGATGCTAGGGCATAACCACGGCCAGACTTTGGCTGCGCAGGAAACTTTGGCTAAGTTAGTCAGAATGAGAAGCAAGATATGAATAATCAGTCGCCGGAAAGCATAAATTGGCGGCGCAATTTTGTTCACAGTGTAATGTAATATCATGCTGCCATTGTTACTATGCTAATTACCCAAAAAAAAAAAAAAAAAAAAAAAAAAAAAAAAAAAAAATCAGAGTTTCACTTACACGTTTTGCATCAGTTCAAATTGCACCGGAATCGTGGTAGGGTTCATAATTTAGCACGTAATTTGAAATTGATCGGCCGGCGTAAACAATAAACGAAACTCTACTCCGGCGACTGTACCAAAACCTAGTGCATTTTCGGATTGCTGTAAGAAAATTAACTCTGAATATCAAATTAAAAAGCACAAAATAGGGAAAGTAGGAAGATATGGAACGATGCCGTCTGAATTGGTAGCGACGGCGGGATTCTAAGCAAAACTCCACCGGACCGCCACCGCCACGAGGAGTGGAGGGAGCAATGGGCGTCTGTCGGAGATAATCGAGCCGTGTTCAGAAAACGGTGTCGTTTTGGTCCGGGATAAGTACTGGATTTGTGAGGCCCAATGTCAACGGAAAGTTTGCGTATCTGGCCCATAATATAAAGGGCCGCTTTCGAGCGTAAAACTAAAGGATAAATTACAATCACCTCCCCGAGGTAAAGTGTAATAACACAAAGACCCTTATAGTTTGTAGGTTTCTTACATCAACCCTGTACAAAAGGGTGTTAACGTAAGGAACTACAAATTACAGGAGATGGATGTAATTATGCAAAAATGAGGGGGTTTTCATAAATAGACTTTACGTGAGGGGGCGGTTGTAATTTACCCTAAAACTAATACCCCGAATCGTGGTACATTTTGAATGTGCAAAATATATAGCCGAGGTATTTTCGAGGTATTTACCCTAAAATTGTTGGCTCTTTTTTTTAAAAGAAACTTCTTTCTTATTTACACATTCGAATATGATATATGCATGCTTCAAAATTTAAATCGGTTTCCGAAGTTCATCCCATGCCGAGATATTCTTTTTATCGACGAATATAATCGACAGTCACAAATATGCACTGAGTAAACCTCGTTCTCAATATATTAATAATTCACAAACCATACGAAATTAAACTTAATTATGTGAATAGACAACCTAAATAATTAGCTTTGTGGAAAGGTCAATTTTCAAGAAACAAAAAAGGATATATGATGGAGAAAAAGGAACAAGATTGTGTGGTAAACAAACGGCCATATATATTATGTAATTGTTGGTTAGTCCTGTGCTCCGAAACTCTTCTGATTTTCTCTTTCTTCCCCCTCTCTTTCACACACACACGTAGAGAGAGAGAGAGAGAGAGAGGCACTCGTTCAACGTTATGAAAACAAACATGCACCACACACTGCGCGTACATTATAACGTTAACGTTTATAACGGCTATATTTTGTTCATGTAGAAACAAGAACAAAACTTTTGACCATCTTGAATGTGTGTGAAATGAATGAGTATATATCATTTGTGTCTACACCTAGTTCAATATTTCCTTAACAATTTCTTTGAATTTCCATTATTGATTATGACAAGTCATTTTCTACCTTAAAATCCGGACATTAGAAAATTAGACGTTATATCTGGTTCTTTTAGCAGGATTTGAACCGTAGATCTACACATGATCACACACACTCAAATGTATGTGTGCAGCTTAATGGGTAGTCATTTAATCAAATATACGGTCCAAATCCACCGAATGTAAATAACCAGGTGTAGCATCTAACTTCTCGTTAAAATCATCAAACATGCATGCATGACCCCACACAACATGTTACACACACACTGCACATATATATCTCACATATGCAATAATGGATACACACATTACACATACATGCATGCACACAGAGAAGCAGAAAGCAAACCCTACAATGGCTCCTCTCACATGTAATAATGGATTACCAATTTTATAACAAACAAACAAATAATATTAAGATGTTTAATTACTTATATTAAAAAATAAAAAAAATAAAAATATCAAAAGGGTTTAACTCATTATTCAAGAATTTCTCTTACAACACCTCTAATAAAGAGCTTCTTTCTTTACCTAGGATTACTCTAGCCATCGATATATATATAATTACGCAAGTCAGATATCCCGTAAAACTTCGACAATAAACACAACAACAACATTGTACGAGAAAATATACACCGAAAGATTTCAAGTGCGATTCCAATTCACCTCAAAAGGCGGCCTTTGTTCATTTGCATTCCGAAATATTCGAGATCCGCTATGGATTGGATAATCACACGACCGATTCTGATAGCTAAAGAATGTATTATTGACAGTATTCCTCGATTCATTTCCCGCAACTTCGTACCTAATGGGAGTGCCGATTCGTCGATCAGGGGTAAAATCATAATTCGACCCTCCACCAAAGCTCTTGCTAGAAAGCATGGTTCTTGATGGATGCTCATGTGGGGAATATTCTGGTGTGCCGAAGTTAGTATGGACTCTCGAACCATATTCGAAGGAAGTGCAATAATCAAAGTGCTGCACGTCGTGCTTACGTGTTTGTGGATGATGATTATGGGGGCGGTACTCAATCTGAGGGGGCGAGATATTTTCTTGTTTATTCACCACCATTAGATTTTTCCCCATCAATCGGAGAACGGGATTACAAGTACTACCGGACGATGGACTGTATTGATCAGTTACTAAAACGCCCTCCTTTCTTGAACTACAGCAAGGTTGACCGTTCTTGCTATTCGTTTCGTGAAATACCGAATTCGCCCTCGATGATGATGACTCATCGTCAAGTTTCGATTCTTGAGGAACAGAGTTAGATACAGCAGAAATTGGAGAATCCGATGAATCCCTTTCCACCAATTCATGCTCGTTTTCGAAGGAATGCACTCTGCATGTGGTTAGTGATGAACTATTTGCCTGAAGTACTGTCGAGGGAATACGCTCGGGGCTCGGCAAAAACGAGCCTGGCGGACCAGGTATCGGTATCGGATCCACTTCAGCAAAGTTATAGTTTCCTTGCCCTTCTTCATCACCATTAATTACAAGAAAACCAGAACTGATCAAAGACTCACCAAAACCTATATTATTATTCGGATTAATGGGCCCACAAACAAATTCATCCCGATTTTCAACCTCCTTTATGGCATGATCTAGGACGACAGTGGATGTGCCAGCTGGACCATGGTCAACGTTCTTCTCAACTCTATGACTACTACTTGATGAAGCTTTTTCCATTTGAGCTGCATTTTTCACCGGTTCTTCCGCTGCCACGTCACCCGATGCTGACGTGTAATGCTGGCGGCGCTCAGAGTTCACGATTCTTGGACTGATAGTACTTCTGATTTTCTTGTTGTGCCGAGAAGATAAACTCGAGTCGCTCGTCCTCTTGTTTAACTTATCCACAACCGATGGAAGTCTATAATTTGCTTGTAAGTCCTTCATGATTATGTCTCGATGCTGATTTTCTTGCTCCGGATTTATTTTCTTTTTAAGACCAGTTCTTTTGGTGGACCCCACCCATTGCTTTATCATTCCGAAATCGTTGGATTCCAGCTGATGTTCGACTTTTCGTGGCTGTTTTGCCGAATCCTCGTCGTCTTCAGAAGGATATTTTCTTTCCTCGCCATTAACGTTGACCTGTCAACGAACCATGTTTTCTCCGAATTCAAAATCGGCATCACTTGAAAAAAAAAAAAAAAAAAAAAAAAAAAAACAGTTACCTTCGGAATCGTGTTTCTCCGAGCAAGATACTTATTCTTCTTGGTCGAAACAAGCTTGCTTTCTTTACGATCTCTTTCGACAAACTTGGATAAAATACGAAGCTTTGTGCCATTAGAGTCATAATATACAGCATCATTCTTCTCTTCATGATGTGCTGAAAAATCCAAATTCGATGAAGTCCATTTCGTCCCGTTTCTTCGATCGAGATCCTCTAACGTAGAGCTGAGCGATGTTGCGTATATATCCACCATCAGTTTCGTTTTTCGAGGCTTCATTCTATGCTTAACCATCACTCTCGAATCTGCAGTATGTTCGACTTTCGATTCCTCGGAAAGGCATCGATCAATATGAGCATTCAAAGTAGTGTTCGAAGAGGACGTAAATTTCTTGCAAACCGGGCACACTTTTGAAGCCATTGTCGTCATAATAATCGTGTCTTCCTTCGACTTTGGTTCGGAGAAGTTGCTCGATTGTACAGTCAATCTGCACTTTTTCACCGGGTTTTTAGTATTGATTTCGACCGTATTGGTTGGTAATGGATATTCTTTATCTTCAAGAAACAAACTCGATTGGCTGTTCTCAATATCCGAATCTAGCTTTCGGCCGACGACATCGACAGAATCGAATTTCAGAGGAATATTTCTTACAGATTCAATTGTCTGAAAAGGTGGCAACACATCCTTCACACCGTGGTTCAGACAAAGATGCAAGCTTTTCGAAGAAAACGGCCAATGAGTCTCGATATCTTCGTCCCGTGTACTCGACACGTAATCTCTGCAGCAAGATTTTTTTTTTTTTTTTTTTGTGAATGTTCTACGAGATTAAAATACTTTTTTTTTAATACCGAATTCAAGAAATGAAACAGCCACAACAAAGATTGGTCTTAAGTCTTAATTCTTAAGGTTGTTGTTCTATGAAATGACCAAAGGAATTCATTACTAAAGATAGGTGGTCAAAAACGTTGACCATCAATGGCGGTCAGCAATAAAAGACTGCAACAAGAATAAGTTTTATTTAATTATAAAAAAATCATTAAGCCATACTTGGATCTGGCCTACCAAGAAAAAGTCCCCAACAGACAACATGGTGATCAAGACTGCATATTATCTCTGTGTTACTGAGAGAGAGAGAGAGAGAGAGAGAGAGAGAGAGAGAGAGAGAGAGAGAGAGAGAGAGAGAGAGAGAGAGAGAGAGAGCAATGAAAAGTTTAATTACCTAATGGAGAATTTGGGAAGTGGGTTGAACAGATCTACCTCAAACTGGTGCTGATTATTACAAGCAGAAACCCTCTCATCACTGGATAACATCTGCTAATTAATATCCCTCTTTCCTTTCTAATTTCAAGAAATTAAAAATCCCCAAAATTAAGAAAACCCCACTTAAAGATTGCACCTTTTTTCCTTCAACAATCCAACCATGAACAACCCTGCAAATAAATTGAAACTAATAAATTAACAAAGGCCACAAAAGAAATAATAATATTAAAAAAATGGGGGAGTTGTGAATTTGAAGCATATGTATGTGTTTGATCATCACAATTTAGAGTTTTTCTTAATTGAGAAACAAAAGACATGATCAAACCCTCGTATAACTAAAAGAAAGAACGTTATTTTATGTGGGCAAACATCAAGAAAAGAGCTGAATTAAATCTTTTTTTCAAGATGGGAAGCAACTAAAATCCTGAAAGGTAAAACCCAAGTAATCAGAATCATGATTCAGAAGAGATGAACCAAGAAAAATATCAGCTTTTTTTTTTGAATTTTTTCATTGGCTGAAGAAAATATAAGAGTATATATGTAATAACGGACAACCTCAGACACAAAAAAAAATCAAATCTTTGGTCAGTCTGAGTAAACAGTAGCAAGAAAAACAAAAACCCAATAATCAGATCATAAAATACAACAAAAAAAAAAGGATCTTGAAGTAAGGAAATTAGAGAAAGAACCCTCAAATGGTAGATGAAAAGGGAAATTAAATCAAAAAATCTCTATACGTAAAGCTACATATATACATATATAGATACAGTATTAAGCATATATATATATCAACAGACCTGCTAATTCTGAAAATGGTAGTGAAAAATGAGGTCATCTGGGGGAGTAATATTAGAGGGCTAACAGTATTTTTACATACATAAGAGAGACGTTGAGTTGAATGAGAGAGAGAGAGAGAGAGAGAAAGAAGAGAGAGAGTTAATTAATTAAGAGGAGAAAAGAGCACCACCCACTCACACATCAAAGCATCAAATTCTTCTGATCTCCGCACCAAAAAGTAGATTTTGCTTGCACCATTTAATTAATTAATCACAACCCACTCTGAATATGCGTATTAAGAGAGAGAGAGAAAAATTAAAGAAGATATTCAAGAATTCCTTTTTATTAGTTTCTAGAGAGAGAAAGTGGTGGTGGGACGTGGGACAGTGGCATTATTGTCGCTTTTACCCTCCTTGTTTTTTACTGTATTTACATATCGAACTCTGTGTATGTGTGTGTGTGTGTGTGAGAGAGAGAGAGAGAGAGAGAGAGAGAGAGAGAGGGAGAGAGGGAGAGAGAGAGAGAGTCAAGAGTTCAATAATGATGGTAATTACTAATTAACCATGGTCGACCTTTCAAGTTAATGGCGTCTGGTTTTTAGCTCAAGTAATTAATAAGCTCTTCTGGCAATCATCGTTGAGGACAAGCAGAAAAATCTGTTTTTTTTTTTTTTTGTCTTCAATTTATAAAATGAGGTGGCCTGGTGAACTCAGTGAGTTATTCTAGAGTCACTGACACGGTCAGAAATACTTGATTAGTGTAATAATTAACTTAATTAATTCCTTCTACTGTTCTATATTCTATTGGGAATAATTAGGAGTGGCGATTAAGTATATATAAGAAGATAATTATCAGATCGATTAATTCTGAATAGGGGTGCCGATACACACACTCCAACACACATTTTTCACACACGTATACATAAATATATTTCAACTCACTTTTTTCACACACACATATATACACACACTTTTGACTCACACACACACACATTGTATATACAGATACACTCCAACACATTTTTCACACACATACAAACACATGTGTGCGTGTATATATACACACACACACACGCACTACAATACATTTTTCACACGTACTCCAACATAATGTTTGAATAATTACAATTATCCATGAATAATGTATTGTCTTACCAAAAAACCCCCTTTTCATTAAGTTTGACACCAATGATGAACATGTAAGGCAATACATAGTTGAAGAGGTGATTGTAATTATCTAAATATGAGGAGTTTTTTCGTAATTTAAGCGTATTCCAAGAGCTGAGCTGGCTGTAATTTACCATAAACATTAACTTTGAGAACTTGTACATTCGTGATTTGACTTCGAGTTTATTACAAGAAATTTTAATATCAATTTATTATTATTATTATTATTATTATTATTATTATTATTATTATTATTATTATTATTATTATTAAATCAAATTAAACTTCAAAAGTGTTCAAGTTGACCAATTTACACGGCTACACAAAAAAAGTCGTCACAAACATCGTTTCAATGTACGTGCACGTATGTATGCATATGTATCTTTGTCAATTTTTTCAATTTTGTTTGAATTAATTAGTAGTTTTGGTGGATCTTGACAAGGACAATTAACCATGCTCACTAATCACTAATTATCTTCTAAAACAAATCCCACAAGTTTTAAATTATTGATTAAAATTTTAATTTAATTATTTGGGTAAATTACGATCACCTCATGAGGCAAACTCAAATTACACAAAAATCCCTCTTATCCTCATTAAGTAGATAAATTTGAGACCGTAAGTGTGGATGTAATTACTCAAACATGTGAGATTTTTTCGTAATTCGACCTTATCTTAGGAAGCGGCTGTAATTTACCCTAATTATTAAGTACTATAATTGGAAATTAGGCACCCCGAAAGATATATTTAAATAATTTAATTATTTATTTTTTCCGTTTGTAATTAGTTATATTAAATTCCAATTATAGTTTTTATAATGTAATATCCTACAAAAGTCAATAAAAAGAAATGGGCATCTAATTCTGTATACTGTATTTAATTAATTTATTTCATACTCCAATGAAGTAAACCGAGTGTGCATTTGACCAAACCAAATGTAGTAGAATTTTGTATCAAGTATAATGTAATGAATTATCAACATAAATTCAATAAATCAATGTTCTTACCAACTTGCAAAGACAGCTTCATTCTTTACCTTTAGTACAAGAATGAGTTTCTAATTAGCTGTAAAATGGATGTTTGATGGTTCTTTTTTCTTTTTTTATTTAAAAAAAAATTAAAATTAAATTAAAATCTCAATTTCATAAAGGTATCAAATTGAAGTCCCAATGGACTCACTTTATGAGTTGAATTTAACATAATGAAATGATGCGTTGGAGAAAAAGATTCCGTGAAAAATTACACCCTAACGGGGTTGTTATAAGACGAAAACAAACGTCATGGGAGACTTTTGTAATTACGGATAGGTAGGGGTATTTTGGTAATTTAACCTAAGTACAGGGGGATTTTCGTAATTTACCCAAAAAAGAAATAAGAATCTGAACAAGAAAATATATATATGTAAGTTGCACACTCCTAACTAATCCCAACCTTGTAAAGGTTAAAAATGTACTAGTATTTTTCAAGACATTTAAATGTTCTTCTTCAGACATTTTCTATAGTTGCATCTAAAAATACATTTGTTACAGACATGTAAGAATCTACTGTTACATTGTTCGAACAAATTCAACTTCTTCGAATCGTCGGCTTGCTCTCGATTGTACACGCCTCAAAATGGTTTACCGTAGTCCTGTGTTGGCTGCTCCCATGCCCTCAAAAAACCTACAACAAATTAACCCAATAAAAATTAAATAAAGAAACTCGAACTTTTACTAGCAAGAATCCAAATTAAGCACGTAAAAATATCGACATAACCAAGAATTTGATTAAGAATATCAGTCCAAATTGTTCTGTCAGTGAGTAATAGATATTGATCGTAGCTTCTAATTGCACGTTAATAACAGAAACCCTACTCCCGTATTAAATCGACCCAAGAACTGCCATGCAATAAAGACGTAACGAAGACAATTAAATGAATCGTTAAAATTAAGTACAGGCCATACTTATCGGTATTTCTCCGAGTGACATATAGATCGAGTCGTCGTCGCCAGGAATCCCCTGCGCAAAAAAATACAAAATAATCAAAACCCTCTGTTTTAAATTCGATAGTCGACAATAAAGATTTATTACCAGCTGAATATATATTATTACCACTTCGTTGTCCTTTCCTAGTAATTCTGATATCATAAGCCCGTAACCATCTTGACTATCGGGATTCTCGTCAGGGTTGTGCGCGTTATTTGGAAAGCCATCCAGATCAGTAAATACGGCATCTCCCCTGTATAGTTTTGAGATAATACTATTTTCAGAAATTAAATTTGATGCATAAATAAAATTTAATATCGAGAAATTAACGTCGAATTAAATTTGACCTTCTCTCGGGACTGCCGAAGATCTGATCTTCTTGACCGGAATCGTTATCCAAATCGATAACCTCAATTTCGGCATCTTTAATAATGCCGCGTTTTCCATTATTCTTCGGCATATTGAAATTATAGTTCATAGACAAATCAACATCGACAGGTGTCGCATCGTTCTTATTAGTTTCGGCAACGGACGGAGAAATAATAACAGAAGCAACATCATTATTTTGGCTCTCGTTCACATCAAAAGCCCCAATAAGATCCAGGTCATATGTCTTCTCTTGCACGAGCTTCGATGACTCAGCGTTATCTTCTGGAAAAAATGAAATGTTCGTTCGATTTTCCAACGAGTTAGAAAGAGGCAAACAGCCATCAGATTGAACATCGATCGATGCAACATTTTCTTTAGGTCTTTTAGAAGTGCCCTCCCTACAATCCGCCACGTCATCGAGTACTCGTTTTTCACCTCTCTCCATTACAGAATCATTATCATGTTCAGTAGGGACTTCAGTGGGAACATTCTCGACTTCCTTCGATGAATCAACATTATCCACTCGGACCAAATTGCCCTCCTCCTTATTCTCTTCATCGTTTTGTTCCGAGTAATTACCAATTCGCCCCTCTTCTTCATCGGACCCTTTGATGGTTTCCACATCAGCATCCGATTCTTCAACCGAGTTGCATTTCTCCAATCCAGACTCTAAACGAGTTTCATTATCACCTTCTCGAGTTATTTCACTATCTTTACGCACGACCGCCACGTCATCAAAACGAGCCTCCATTTTTGGCGATACTGATGCCGTACTCTTTTCAGGCAACGATCCACTTCTTACCAACTGCCTTTTCGCCCCCGATTCGTAATTCTTGAACGACCCCGTTATTTTTCTCCTCCCTCTTTCGTCAGAATAATTTCTCCTAACTAACTGCGGCATAATCGAGCTGTCGTTTCGCCACTTCCCTCCCGATAGTGCGTTTGGCGGCAACACGCCTTTGGAAACCAAATACGCCGCCGCTAGTCTACCTGCTTCCATGAATACGTCATTCTCCCGCGGAGGATGATGAGGCGGCATATGCTGAGGTGGCGGCTGGTGATGAGGTGTCGGATGAAACGGCCTTGAGTGACTGCCGCCGCCGCCACCACGTGCATAGCCGCCACGATAGCTCCTTCGCTCAGGATTATACAACTGATGATCTCTCATCGAACCATCAGGTGAAATTCTCGAGCCCCCCATAGCATTTGATCTGTATCCATTCGGACCATTCCCTTGCCCAATTCGATGCCTCACTTGCATTTTTCGTCAGATGTGCCGATATATATATATTTATATACGTATATTTATCACTAAAATCAAATAAAATATTATTTATCACCAGATCATCTTCATCATAAACTTGCCACCTGGAAATTCATCAAGTACACCAGGATTCAAGATACATCCAAATCTTCTACAAAACAATGCATTCTTCCCCATATTCAACAGTCAACAAAATTAAAGAAAACTAACATACATCCTAATTACTCTCAAACAAGTACTAATTTTGATTATAACTGCGTCACTGTAATAATAATAATAATTAATATTAAATTGAAATTATTTTTCAACTATTTTACTACAACATCCTAAAAATCAAATCTTTATTCCTTAATTAATTACTTCAATACTGGAACTGAAATTTCCAATACTAATTCGATCAGATCTGACGATTTCCGAAACCTAAAAAAAATTCAAAATTCAGCGCAGCAGGCGGCGGCGAGGGTTTACCTTATCAGTTTCCGGTGAAATCCAAAAGCCGATTAATTAGGGTTTCAGTCTTTCAGATCCAGTTCTCACTCGTCATCATCATCAATTCAATTGCAACAACCCCCCACTTCACCAAAATTCATAAACACCAGCTAATTTTTTTTTTTTTTTCTAAATCCGTTCAAAGTTCAGGGGATCAATTACAGTCTGATCTGATGCATTTGGATTGGATGTAAAGATGAAGAAATCATAATCAAATATATGAATTTTCTGTGTTGTTTGTGTTTTTTTTTTTTAGTTTTTTTTTGTTCTCATTCTAGAGAGAGAATGAATGAAAGGTAGAGAGAGAAACTGCGACTTTTAAAGGATGGCGTGACTCGTGAGGTAGTGCTACGGTAATCGCACTCACGCGCTCTCTTGGGGTTTTAACTTCACGCGCCACTAATCATATGTTAGGTGTCTCTAATTTGATTTAGATGTAATCATATGTTAAGTGCACTTAATACTTAGGCTTAATTCTACTTTGCACCCTTGAGATATAGAATTTTGACATTTTGCATCCTCAAATTTCTTCTATAGCATTTTTTCACAGTCGAAACATGATGAATGTTGCATAATGCACCTGAATGATTTTTTAAAGCTAATGATCATAATTTCATATTTTAAATGTTATTTTCTAGAATGTCAAATGTCAAATCATTTATTTTATATTCATCGATCCTTTCGAAACTACAAAGTGGAAACATAAAATATACAGTTTAACTTCTATAAATTAATAGAGTTAGGACTAGCAAAATTGTATTAAATTATTAAATTATCGAACTAATAATTTAGTAGGTTTTACCGAGTCAGGACCAAAAGAAACTATTATTTAAGCGAGTTGATTAATTTATCGAGTATTAATTTAGTGAGTCTCTACTGTATTGCTCTTCAACATCTTAAATGATTTTATTTCACAAAAAAAAAAAAAAATAGTGTACAGACAATAAAGAGAATGAAAAAAAAAAACTCTTTAGCTATTTTGCTATCATCAAGTTATTTGAAAATTATATTTTTTTTTAAAGATTTCTACCAAATATTTTCATTAATTATAGTAAAATCCACCAACCAAATAATGTAGTGAGATTTTTTTTTTTAAATATAGTTTTTTCAGTACTTTGTTGCGATTTTTATTTTTCGGATTTTATATAATCGAAATTATGCTGGAGGTAGAAGAAATTTATAAATTATTTTATTGTTTTGCACCATGTATATAAAAAAAACCAATAAAAATAAAATTATCCGCATTAAGTTTTAAATATTCAATTCATGGTGCACTGTGAATGATTTATTGTGTTTTGAGGGTGTAAAATGTTATTAATATTTTTTAAGGGTGTAAAGTGCCAAAATGCGTTGTTGCAAGGATGCAAAGTGGGATTAAGCCTAATACTTATTATTATTATTTTTATTTTTTTATTTTTTTATTTTATTATTATTATTATTATTATTATTATTATTATTATTTATATTATTATGTTTTTTTTCCAATTATATAAATAGATCAATAAAATCCTCCATTAATACATATAATAATTAATTAAATAAAATAGTTTCTATTTGGCAGTAAAATCATCTGCGATGCAACCCAAACCCCTGGTGGTGTATGTATAGCTGCGTGTATTTCTCCAATCAAGGAAATGGTTTTATGAGAAGCCCCAATTCGCCGGCGCTGGAGTTATGTCATCGGTAGTCGAGTACAACGATCGCGCCATTTTATTGCGCTCCAATTCCTCGGGTTCCGACGGCGATCTGGAACGCGGCGGCGGCTCCCAATCCCCGGCGAGGAACAGTAGCAGCGCCAGCAATAAGGGGCGTTTCGCGTCGGATCTGTTGAAGCGTTTGGATCGCGGGCTGACGGGTTCGGGCCGCAGATTGAGCGTCAAGCTCCGACCGGATAGTGATCATCACCGCCTCTCCTCTTCTTCCCCTTCTTCTCCGTTGCCCTCAGATCACGGCGTTAGTGCTAATGCGGCCGCCGGAGATGACTTTCTCGGTGACAGTGCACCGCCAGAGTGGGCTTTGTTGCTCATCGGGTGCCTACTCGGTGTTGCTACGGGCCTTTTTGTCGCCGGTTTTAACCGTGGGGTTAGTTTGCATTCGAAGAATTTGAATATTCAATTTACTTTTTTTTTATAGGATTGGCTGATTTATGTATGTTCGTTATGGGTTAATGTCGAAATATTGCGAATGCAACTTAGATTCTGCATAAATATAGTCTTGAAATGGAGGGAGGCTTTACTAAGTGAGGTGGTTTTTGTTAGTTATAAATATTCCAGACTGAGTTAGATAAGTATTAATGATAAGAGCGCATGATATATGCAGCAACTGAACTTTAGTAGAAATTTACGAATTTGTTGCAGCTTACGATATTAAGATGGCTATATACAAGATGGAATATAGAATATAGAACGAATATTTTAGTACAGAATAGATAATTCTAGGGCGCTTATGTACGAATATGGTTAAAATATTGAAAGTTTATGGATGCTGTTATGAGGGCCATGGTTGGTTTTCCATGATGTACAGTTTCTTTTTCCAAATCTTCAGACTTGTGAGGCTGGATTCATTTACCAGCTTTTTTTCAGTTGAAATTAGTGAAGTGTTTGTGGTGAAACATGGTTCCGATTTTGACGATGGCAGCATGCTGAAATGTTCTAGCCTGTTTACGCCATCATGCAGAATGCAGAATTCAAACACTTTATTTAGTGTGAAGCACCCGTATATGTTTGTCAGCATTACCTACTTGCATTTATTTGAATTATTGGATTAGAACATAGCTTACACTCTTCGAAAGAACTGGATTATGCCTGATTTGGTTTACCTCAGGTACATGTAATACACGAATGGGCATGGGCTGGTACCCCAAATGAAGGTGCTGCTTGGCTCCGGTTACAAAGGCTAGCGGATACGTGGCACCGAATACTTTTGATACCAGTCTTGGGTGGAGTTGTTGTGGGTGTTTTGCACGGCCTTCTTGAAATACTGAGTCAAATTAAGCCGTCAACTTCTTCTCAAGGACAAGGCTTGGATGTGCTTGCTGCAATCTTCCCCATAGTGAAGGCAATCCAGGCTGCTGTAACTTTGGGAACTGGTGGTTCTCTAGGTCCTGAAGGCCCGAGTGTTGATATTGGAAAATCATGTGCTAATGGATTCTCGGTGACGATGGAGAACAACAGGGAAAGGAAAATTGCTCTTGTTGCTGCTGGAGCAGCTGCTGGAATTGCTTCAGGTATTCCTCTGCCTATATATGGTGTGATGTTTTGACAATAGCAACAGATTGAAGGTTTCTGGACTGGATGTGATGTTTTAGCGCATCTTTTAGATGGTCAATTACCATTTATTCTCAGTTTATCTTCATGTTTCTGTATGTATATTCTTGTAATTTACCTCTTCAATGAGGGGGTCTTTCCCACGCACTTTCAGGATTGTTCAACTTTACTTGCAGCTAGGATGATTACATTTGTTCTATCATCATCCCTGCTCACTGTTTACATTAATTCAAAATGTAGTGGGGGATATTAACTCTTGCATTCTTTATTTTTGGTCAATCATGATGGTCGGTCACATCAATTCTCCTTGTGCATCCTCAGGTTTCAATGCAGCTGTTGCTGGATGTTTCTTTGCTATTGAAACAGTTTTGAGGCCACTCCGTGCTGAAAACTCTCCTCCATTTACAACGGCGATGATTATTTTGGCCTCTGTGGTCTCGTCTACTGTATCAAATGCTGTTCTTGGCGAAAAACAGGCTTTCACAGTGCCCACGTATGATTTGAAATCTGCTGCTGGTATTTTATCTGATTCTAGTTTTTGTAAACTGAAAAACATATTTGGGCTGCTGTCTGATTATTTTTATTGTTATAAACACAAGACTGCCGTGCTCTTTCAATTTTCATTACGCTGAGGATAGAGATCGTACATATTGGCAACATCTATGTTCTATCACTATCGTACATTAATTATTCTGGTCTTCAGAAGTAGTGTTGTTCTTGGTCAGTTAAACAGATTGGAAATACGAGCCCTTACTTTTAATTGTCAAATAATGGATAAGGTTGAAATGACAATTAATTCTTGAATCTCTATAATAATAGTAACTTGACTTTATTAACTTATACGAAGAAGCTTTTCTACTTGAAGCAAATTTAAACACCCAATGATTTCTTTTGTCCAGAGTGAAGAATATGATGTTCTCATGCTGTGAATTCCACTAACTATTCTTAACCTATGGATCAGTCACATGGTAGATCATAGATGTGGTTGAAGAAAAGTAAAAGTTTCAACCGTGAACTTATGAGCAGTTTGTGTGTGTGTGTCAGTTAACTGCTGTATCTTGCTCAAATTTTGATGTTTGTCTGACCATTGAATTATCTATATCTTGTCACAGAGCTACCTTTGTACCTTATACTGGGGATGCTATGCGGAGTAGTGAGCGTGGCTTTCACTCGCTTGTTGGATTGGTTCACCGACGCATTTCAGTTTATGAAAGAAAAATTTGGGATTCCAGATGTGGTATGTCCTGCTTTAGGAGGTCTAGGAGCTGGGTTAATAGCTCTCAAGTATCCCGGAATATTGTATTGGGGTTTTACTAACGTCGATGAAATATTACATACTGGAAAGACTGCATCGGCTCCAAGTATCTGGCTTGTAGCTCAATTAGCTGCAGCAAAAGTTGTGGCCACTACTCTATGTAAGGGATCTGGCCTTGTCGGGGGTTTGTACGCACCAAGTTTGATGATTGGTGCTGCTGTTGGTGCTGTATTTGGGGGCTGTGCTGGTGAGCTTATCAACACGGCTATTCCAGGAAATGCTGCTATCGCTGAGCCACAGGCTTATGCATTGGTAATATTAACACGAGTCTTCCGTGTATCTATTTATAAATGCCATTTTTATATGCTGACATTGTCTTTCTGCCACTTCTACTCGTACTGTAGGTGGGAATGGCTGCAACTTTAGCTTCTGTCTGTTCAGTACCTTTGACATCAGTGCTTCTTCTCTTTGAGCTGACTCGAGACTATAGAATTTTGCTTCCCCTCATGGTAAGTTTGCTCTCAGAATTTGATGTTCCTCCACAGTCCTGTATTTTTTTTAATAGCTACTGGATCCTAGATCAATAAGCTAGCATCAGCTTATGTTATATATATTGGTGCATTATCCTTTTTCTTTTTCTTTTTTTTTTTACTCCAAGAAGTAGACATCTAGGGTTATGTTACTAGCAGTTTCTTGTCCGCATAATCTGGGAAGTAGGAGCTTATGATATAAAGTTATGTTGCCATACCTCATTATTGTAAATCTAAAATAAATATCTTTCTCTGCTTTCTTTATTCGTTCTTATTATTTAGTAATGAAGGAGAGACTTCATTGAGCAGGATTTAGTAAATTTCTTGTGGTTGCTGTTAGGTTACTGTACTAAATTGGAACGGCATGCATATGTTTTGTTTATGTATGCCAGTGATGCCTTTGGATGCCTTCTCTTAGGAGTATGCTTGCTGTTTTAGTTTCTTCATCTCTTGACTCTTATATCACCAAGTAATATTCTTGAGTATTCGTAAATGTTGGACAACCCTCGAAGGACTAAAATTTTGAACCGAAATCTTGGATCTGATTTGCAGCTCAGTATCATTTATGCAAAGGCAACGAGGACTCTAGAAAAAGATTCATGTTTTAATGATTGTATATATGGTACCTTGCATCGTTTGCTATCTGCTTTTAACATGAGATAAAATTGATTAGAAACTCTACTTGTGATGGATTATCTATCAAGTGCTCCTTTCGATGGGCTATTTAATCTTTTTAGCTAATTCATTTTCTATTGGTTGCTTCATATATATTCATTGAATTTTACTTATCGCAACAGGGGGCAGTTGGATTAGCAATATGGGTGCCTTCTGTAACAACTCAGCCCAAGGAGACAGAGGTATCAGATACGAAGAATTCTCCACATGGTTACTCTGTTGTTTCACCATCTGAAGACAAAAATGAGGATATTCGGATACAAAACGGTGAAAGGGATGATATAGAACTCACAGTTATCAGAAACTTCAGTGACTATCAACCAATAGATATTGACATTTTGCTGGAAAATATGAAAGTCAGTCTTTTTGCCTTTCCTATTTGAACTTACTCGTGAAAAAAAAAAAAAAAAAGAAAGCCCAAGTTTTGCAGATTCGGTTTATGCTCATAGTGCTCATAGAACAAGTTCTTTTTATGTTCCTTTTTAATCAGGTTTCTCAGGCTATGTCAGACAACTATGTGAAGGTTTCTCTGACACAAACTCTGAGAGATGCACTAAACCGCATGCGTGATGGTCAACAGAATTGTATCCTTGTTGTTGACTCTGAAGATTCTTTGGAAGGAATTTTGACCGATGGGGACATAAAACGGTGCTTATCCAAAAGATATGTTGCTGATACTTCTTCTTCCAACAGCAATTACACAGATGTATAGTTTTATCTTTTAACACAAAAAAAAATAATCTCGGTTTTAATGCAGATTTTATCTGAAAGTTGTTGTGAATTGTGTTTGCAGGCAAATACGTGCACTGTTTCCTCTATTTTCAACCGTGGGATGACCTTTCGTGGGCGAGAACGTGGGCCGTTGATTTGTTATCCAGATACAGATCTGGCAATGGCGAAGCAGCTTATGGAGGCCAAGGGAATCAAACAATTGCCCGTCTTAAAACGTGCTGAAAGTTCTCAAAGAGAGCAAAAAAGACGCAGAATTGTGGCTATTCTTTATTATGACTCGATCTGGAATTGTCTCAGGTACATGGTTTTACCCTTTTCTTTAAGAAACAAATACTCCTTTTTTAAGCATTGGCATAACAGAACCTGACAAATTTCCGAGCAAGGAAGCTCCTTTGGGGTTTTACTTGAAGATTCTTTTGTTTTTTTTTGTTTTGTTCTTGGGCTGTACCTTTTTGCATAGAATGGAGCTAACAATTTGGAATTAGACATCATTACAAGAAGGCAACATCGATTCTATATAAGACTGTTTTTTCCTTGATAACTATATTTTCGTCTCTTCTAGAAACCCACAACTAGGATTTATGGTTGCACATTCGCACTTACTTTAGGAATTTACCGAAGTTGTCTTAGAAACTAGACTGGACTAGTTCAACTGATTTATCCAGGAACCACTTCTCAGTTTGGTCTGGTTGACTCAGTTGAACTTTTTTTGTTGAAGCTTCCTTGTTTCCGAAAAAAAAATAGAATAAACGGTAAAACTATGAAATAATTTCTACCTTCTGATTATTTTTTTTTTTTTTTTTGTGCAGAGATGAACTTAATCATCGAAAGTTATTGAGCCAGCAGATAGAAGATGATTCTGGGAAGATTGTAGCATACACATGACGTGAAACCATTGAAATTAATCTATAAGGCATCAATTAGTTTCCACAGTGCCTACCTGCCTGGGTGAAGAAGCGACTCAAGTTCGAAAATCACACCTGGGAATTTTACAAAGTCGAGGATTAAATTTACAGGAAAAGAATTGATATTTCAACACTTGCCTTCAAAATGTAATGTAGCACGAGCCTCTTGTACGCGATATTTTCTGGCAATTGAACAAAAAAAAAGTATCGTATCGGTGGCTTTAGAGGAAATCACATATAGAGTCTGTAATCAAGATATATATTATATACATACGATAATTTTGGCAACGAAATTTAAAGGTTCTTGCATTGACCATCAGTGAAATATCTTGCCTGTATAAAATCCCATGTCAATATTATTGTGCCGAGTTTTTCAAGCTTCGCTACAACATAATTTTCGTTGTGTATTAACTTTTGCTCCTGGTTATTTTCAATAAAGTTAGTAACTTTTTTGCTTAAGTTAGTTGCTTCTGTACTTCATTTTTAATTTATTTTTAAAAAAATGATCTTATGAACTCAGTCCCTACAATATATATATATATATATATATATATATATATATATATATATATATATATATATATATATATATATATATATATATATATATATATATATATAG